ACAGTAAAAACACTATCGTATTCTGTATTGAGGCACTCAAATACACATGCTCTCTGTGGCTAAAATTAAGCTGATATGAAATGTTGCTGTCCTGTGTTACAGTTACACCTCAAAACATGTAAAGCTACAGAAAAACCTTTTATTTTTTTATGCTGTGAGGTTGATTGTTTGCTGTGAATTCGTAAGCTAAAGGTGATGCTAATGACACTCTGCTTTCACTTAAGACAGCAAATGGTTAGGGTAAATTAAATAATGCCTAAATTAAATGATTTATTATGTGTTCTTTTCTTTTTTGATGTGTAAATCAAACAGCCACTCTCATATTTGTCATATTTACTGAGTTTTCTTATCTTGTGTGATTTGGTCATAAACATTACAAACGTCCTGTGGTAAACTGGCATTACCCCACCTCCCTATGGAAAACAAATCAAGTCCAAATAGGGCTTTAAGAAAGACGGACAAGATTTCATCTTTTGAAGTGTCATTTCTAATGCAATGAAAGCAATAGATTGAAGCATTGGTTGGTTTATTGGTTTATTACAAAATCCATGAGTGGAAAGCCAATTTTTAAGGTGTGAAAATGCACCAGAAACAGGCCATTTAGTAAGAAACTGTTTTCCACAGTGAAAAAAACATGAAATGCAATGCACACATGACTACTTTTCTATAGTGACATGCAGAATATGTGCCAGAATGAAAAACAAAACCTCTGTTACATTATTCTTACATGGCGTGATATCTTTACTGAAAAACTGTACATGAGGATTTGGATTTTAAAGATTAAATGCTGCACTGGTGTCAGAATTGAGTACAATCCACTTTAAAATGAAATTAAGGCACAACTATATTACTTTCCACCATGCAGTATTTTAAACAGATTTTCCTCATTGAAATGTGTTCATAACTGTGAAAACAGTGAAATGCAATGACATGACATTACGTTTCCATAGGTAACATGCAGAATACATGCCAAAATGAAAAGCAAACCCTCTGCTACATTATTTTCATGTCGCTTAATGTCTTTTATTGTACCTCAGATGTATTTACATCTTTGTAATGCAACCAATAATGCAGTGCACACATGAGATTGCATTTAAACAGTAACAAGCAAAAACTGTACCAAAATGAAAAGTGAAAGATCCATTACGTTGATTTAATGTTGTTTTAAGTACTGCAGTGTGGAAAGCAGTACAGTTGTGCCTTCATTACATTTCATGGTAGATTGCAGTCAATTCTGACACCAGTGCAGCATTTCATTTTTACAATGCAAATCCTCATGCACTGTTTTTCAGTAAAGAGGGGATGCTTTTTCTCAAAATTGCTGCCCCCCCCCCCATGTCATGCCTTCCTCCATCCTGACTCACCCAAGGACGCCATTTGCCAGAACCCCCTGGGAGATCAAGTGACGCAATCACCATTCTCAGTCACCTGCTTTCTGATCTGTTTCACCTGCTGTTTGTCATGTGACTATTCTTAGTTTATAAGCCCAGGCTTTACACTAGATACTTCACGAGCTATTGCTTCTCCTAGTAGAGCTACTGAGCGTTTCCTGTGTGCTAATTTTGTCTTATTGTAAATGGACTTTTTCCATTTTTTTGGATCTTGGTTGCCTGATCATATCTTTGTTATGTCTGTCCTTTTCAGTATTTTGTCTTGGATTTGACCTACGTCTGTTTACCGACTATAAGTGTTGTCATACCCTTTATAAGAAAAGCCTACTTTCTTGTTTTTTTACAACAAGCGTCTGGCTGGTTCTGTCACGTTACACCCAGTAAAATCTGGCCATTTCCATCCCTGATTTTAAGAGTATGTTCTTTCCATTAAATATATACTTTCCACATAAATACATGTGATTTTCTACAGATTGTACATTGTATTGCCTGTTTCAGTGTTTTGTGAGAAGACATCAGCTCAGCCACGTGTATGGCTTTGCTCAAACACGTCTCCCACTCACACTCTCAGGCAGCAGAGCAATATATCATCCGTCTCCCACTTGCAGGTTACCAATATTAAAGTGTCGAGCGGGGAAAAGTTTCCATTTGCAAAGGCACAGCGCTCTTACTTTTATTGCCAGCTTGTCAGTTTATACAACATGTAATATTCTGAACTGGGAATATAAGAATGTGATTAAAGAATCAAGCAAGCCAGCTAGTGAGTTTGCTCAAATGCGAGCACCACTTAAGAAGCCAACGACGCCTTCCTAGTCAAGGCAGAATCACTTCAGACAGCAAAGTTATTCAGTTTGCTTTTGAATCAATTAAGGATCATTTACATATTTTCATGATCATAATGTAAAAATACCACACTGGTGCATCTGGATGTGCCAGATATACAAACCACACAGGTGCTAACCAAGCTCAGAGTGGCATGGCTGTAAAAAGGGGTGGGGTTTAAGGGTATACTTTTCTGAACGTATCATGGATGTTGTCAGTACTTAACCCCTTAAATGGCCAGGGCTGCAAACTGTTGAATTCACTCCTGAAATCTGTTAGACGTGACTATGAAAACATGAATATTAACCCCTTAAATGGCCAAGCCCCACCGACAGGCCCAAAGTTTTATTACACACTTCAACCAGTTTGCAAGTCCATGTAGTTACTGAATAATAAGCCTTAGTGTGTAAAAAGCCTGAGATTGTAAGGGGTTAATAAACACTGCATGTATAAAAGAGAGCATAATTAGGCCTATTTGGATGGATTTAGAGTGGTGCAATGTGTGAAACACTGAATAAAAGTCATTGTATACATAGTTTTAAATGCAACATTTCTGGTTCTTTTTTGTCTGTTCCAACGTATCAAACTCAGAAGACAAATAAAGATTGTGGTACATGTTGTGTATTGTAAAAAAAAGCCTTGGGGAATCGAGATATTATATTTTTGCCATATTGCCCACCCCTAACAGGGTTGGAATGAACACATTGTTAACAGGCATGGTAAGGCATACTATAGTAATATCCAGTCAGATCACCAGGTGAGCCAGGTGTGTGCCAATAGCTTAGCACAGTTACATCCTAACAGTAGGGTCTGAGGGTCTATAGAGGAATAAAATAGTATTTTATTTTATTTAGTAATTTTTATGTCATTCTGTTGATTTTGCTCCTGTACTTAAGTAATAGCACGTCATTATATGCGCAAGGATGTGTCATTACATGCGCAATAATGTGCCATTACATGCGGAATAATGTATCATTACATGCGCAATGATGCCTCATTATATGCGTCATGATGCGTCAAGTGTCTGATTCATGTTTTAGTCATTGTTATGGATGAAATAATTGAATCAGTTGTATTTAATAATTGGGTGAAGGTGCCTGTTGACCTCTTAAGCTGGCTTGCCCTTCTTTAGCTGGCGTCATGCTCATATTAGGAACTCTGGACCAAAGCAGGAGTTCCTAAGCAGTTTTCAATGGGAACAATGAATGGCCATTATTGGAAAAATGTTCCAAAGTCAGTGTGTTTTGTCATGTGTACGTTTTCCCCCTGTCCTGCTTCTCCACCCTAACCATCCTGAATATCTCTGTCCCTACTCCATCCTCACGCACTTCAACACCGCCCCCTCCACGTCCCTGCATTACCCGACATCATCCCTGCACCGACATGCCCCATCACCATCCCTGCACCATCCCCATTCGCCCCAACAGTGTCCCCATGTTATCTTTTATCCCATCACGTATCCCATACTGCCCCATACATAGAAATATGTAAAGTTTGCCATCCTATACATTATTTTCAGGTTGAGGTTGTTTCCTACTCTTAGAGTTGTACCAATTCACTCTTATGACATGGCAGTATATAATTATAACAGTTATATAACATAGTTATAACACCTGAAATGTTACTTTTTGTTGTTAAACTTTTGACTTAATGACCTACTTTATTAGCTACTTTATATCTGACCCATTATCTATCATGATTACCTATCATCTACCTATTACCTATTTTATTACCTACTTTGTACCTGACTATCTACCTATTACCTACTTTGTTAACTGACTTTATATCTGACTATCTGCCTATTACCTACATTATTACCTGTTTTTATGTCTGACTATCTAACTATTACCTATTTTATTACCTACTTTATATCAGACTATCTACCTATTATCTACTTTATTACCTGACCAACTATTCTATTTGTAGAACACTAACCAACTGTATCTTACATTATAAAGAGAGCAACATTAGTCTGCTGGATTTAGTGCGACACAGTATGACAAATATTGAATAGAAATTGTTGTGTTCACAGTTTTTGATAGAATTTATTAATATGTAGCACTACTGGTTCTTTTTTTTTTTGTTGCAACTGATCAGATGTCTGAAAAAAAATATATCGACATATTGTGTATTGTCAATTTCTTGAAGTATCACTATATTTATTTGCCAGATTGCCCACCTTCAAGTGAACGTAGTCCAAGTCTTTTGGAATATACTGCCTCAGTCACTGAGAAGACTGCAGTGAGAATATGTATTATCATATTTGAATTGCACATATCTAACAAACCGTACTTTGATAAGACAATGATGGGGCTTATGCTCAAATAATCAATGAAAAGTATTGTTTTCAGCAAAATATTTGGAGCCAGATATATTTAATTTTTTTGTACTGAATGACAAATCATAGATCACTGATTTGAATAATCAACATAATAATGTATGGTTTACTTTGCCTTTACTTTATAAAGCATATGCTGTTAGTTCCTTTTAACATACTGTTTTATTTGATTGACTGTTGTTCTGTTGTTCTTTATTCCTGCTTCTGCTGGAGTGAAGGGTTTGTGCACGCCTTCGGGCAATTACTGAACACTCCCCTGAGGAGCTGTTGTTTGGAAATAAGGGTTTTCAGGCAGCGATCAGGATCACAGCAGTGCACCCAGCAGCTGTTTAGAAGAGCATTTTCTTAAATCTAGTTTAGAGAAGTCTTTACAGCAGCCGGGCAGGTGTGTGAAAGTTCCAGCTGGGTTCTGTAATGAGATCGTGATGTTCTCGGCCTCTGTCCTGCAGCGTTCGTCAGCGCTGTCTGGAGGAGCAGAGGAAGAGGAGACAGAGAGCTACCCGCAAAATCAGCACCTTCATCGGGACCTTTGTCGTCTGCTTCACCCCTTACGTCCTCACCAGGTCAGTACACTGAGGCCCAGTCCCATTTCTTCTTTTTACCCCTACCCCCTTGTTTTCAAGTGTCACCCTTGTAGTTGAAATCTTGCCCTACGCAATGTGACCCTCAAATTAAAAAAAAAAAAAACATTAACAGCTACCAGCGCTGCTCTGTAGGCGACCCGGCCCGTCTGCAGTAACAGCAGAGGAGGATAAAGTTCAGCTCCTCACTGCTGGGCTTTAGTTACATTTAGGGCATCATATGCCTTCAAAGAGGGGGGCAATTATTTATTATCACCCACCCCTAATTCTTCAGTGATATGAAGTTGAAGTCAGATATTCACCAGCTTCTTGTTCAAATTTTCCCGCTCCACCCTAAATAGTGCAGCAGTTACATTCTGGCGCTTCAGGCTTCAGAACTGCTGGACTATTTAAGGTGGAACGGGAAAGTTAGCTAGCTAGCTACCGAGACATTAGCATATTATTAGCGATTTTTTATGCTTGTTATGAAGAAAACGACCATAATACACTGAAACGACATTAAACTAAGATAATACAGTGATTATTGTAATTTTTAACAGAGAAAATTCTCACATTTGTGTGTTTCTTTGGTCTCTTGTTCTCCATCTTGCCGGTTTTCCTTTTTTCTCATAACTCTCTGTTTGGAGTCTCTGAAAAACCTCATTTTGGAGGGTCATGTAGCCCCAACACTTCACCCTCCCCCTCTATCTCAACAAAAAATTAGGACATTCTACCCCTAGACGTGAACGCACAAAACAGAGGGTTAGCTGTAAGCTAAATCTGTAAATCTGTAATCCATTCTTTCAGAGTTTTGCAGTACATTTACAGTGATGTGGACTGTAGTGTGGCCAGAAATTATATCAGGATGTAATTTCAACTTCTGATGGTTTCGGTATACATCAGTATACTGTATATATATTCAGCTGTACTCAAAACTTTGAACACATGAATACATTTCATGATGAATGGACCAAAAAAACGACTTCTAAAAAATTCTGGTTCCATTAACTTACATTAAAAGTAAAGTAGGTTTTTTCCTTCACCATGGTTTTCTCCCGACAACAGCGATATATATATATATATGTATATATATATATATATATTTTTTTTTTTTATTTCCTGTAACAAAGTTTTCGAACGCTACCAGCACCTGACCTCCTCCCTGTTCCCAGTCCTACCTCTCAGTCATATCTCTTTTCATCATGGGGGCTTCCATTTCTGGCTTAAAGCAGAAGCCCCCCAGCCCAAGTTGTCAAAGTTCTCGAAGTTCTCTCAACTTCTACAGTCATACAGTCTCTTCTCACACCACAACCGTATGTTGAAAACATGGTACAAACTAGTAAATACCAGAAAACCTTCAGCAAAGCAAAGCAACCGGAACTACTTTTCCAGTGTGTCAGCCCAGTGTTTTGAAAGTTGGGTAAGAACTGCTTTTGTAAGACATTCTGTCCTGTCTGTGTCATCCTAAGACCTAATGTTTGTAGTTTTTATTTTGTTATACAATGATATACATATTTTTAAACACTTATTTTATCAAATGCTAAACATCTCAGCAGAACGAGATGACCCTAGGCAGAGACGCTGTGCATGCACCTTTCAGGTGAGCCAGCAATATTTGCACTTGACTTTTGAGTTAAACTGACTGAGAAGCTCCTGAAAGCAGTGTCTGAGGAAATACGTCACATTATATAACATGTATGAGCTGAGAGAAGTTCAAAGGATGAGCTCACGTCTGCCCCTCAGACTGTGGCTATCTTTAGCTCGATTTCACAACAAATAACTCTTAGATTTGCTAGGTTTGCTTGTAGTATAAAAGGCTTAAAAGGAATCCTACAACATTTTACAGTCTAATCAGTATCTGTTGCATCTGTATCATAACAGTTTTACTGTACTTACCTACCTAAATTCTGTGAATAGACACTTGATTATACATGACTTTGTTTGAGGCCATGAAATTTTGATACTACAACCATTTTGTTGAAAATTCATAAAAATATCCTTCAAAAATGTGTGTGTAGGATAAATATGAATAATGATATTAATTATATTAATATTGTGGAAGTTAGCATCTGCTAGTGATAGAAAGTTTAATTCATATTACTGACCTGGTTCTTTCAAAGTCACTATAAACCTTGGAGAACAGCTGGGGTGAATGCAATGATGTCAAATCAAGACCAACATTACTAAATTATACATAGAAACAGAGTTAAAGCTGCAGGTAACAGGCTACTCCAATAATGTCTAGATATAGATATTAAGATAAAATATATATCTTTAATGTAAAATCCACATATCAACTAAAAAAAGTCTATTTTTAAGCCAGGGCTAAATGCTAATGTGAATCAGAATCTAACACCTAAGAAATCATTTAAATGGTAATGAAAATTAGAAACAGCGATTAAAAAGGCTTTGTTTTCTTTACTCTCTTGCGCTGGTCAGCACAGGCACGTTCAAACAGTCTGAGCAGCAGCAGATCAACAGTAAAACACTCAAACCAGGCCTGCTTCGTTCCTTTGGGAAACCACAAAATATAATATTTTCATAATTTTACACTTCTATACATTACACTACTATACATATTACTGTTTAACAAGCTAAAAATTATATTAGTCCTCTATTTCGCTCAGTTCTCTTTTCCAACAGGTCGATTTTTGCCTTAGAAGCATCAACATCATAATTACTTTAATTTAAGAGTATAAATAATGGCAAATTGTATCAAAAATGGACCTTTTCTTTCAGTTTTTGAGAGATAAGGTTGAAAATGCTGGATGATTCCTTTAAATGAATTTGTTTTGAATTTCGTTATGTGCACCATATGAACTGTTATTTCCCTCTGTGGCTTCAGGGTGGTGGAGCTGTTTGTCACCGTCCCGATCAGTCCGTACTGGGGAGTGTTGTGCAAGAGCTTGGCCTACAGCAAAGCTGCCTGCGACCCATTCGTCTACTCCCTCCTCCGGCACCAGTACCGCCAAACTTGCAGCGATATCATCAACCGCTTCCTCAAGCGAAGATCCCTTAACACTTCAGGCCAACGGCAGGAGAACGGCAAATTGAAGAAACCTGTGAATTCAGGGAACTCTGAGATATCTGAGAAGCCTGAGAAACCAGATAAAGAGGAGAAAACTGGCACAGGGTCTGCTGTTTAAGAACCTTGACAATGGAGATGAATATGTAGCAACAAAAACCACCACAAAGATAAAGCAGCTAGTCTGCTCAAAGAGAAGGAGCGGTGTAAGGGAATGCAGGCTTCAAACATTTTCTACTTTTCTACCTTCAAAAGTTATTCGACGTTTATGGGTTTCAGAGAGTGCTAATCTGTAAAGAGTCACATCTTTTGAAGACTGTAGTATTTTGGAAAATGAGTTTAAACAGTTTTTTTTAATGGTGAAAGCTGCTAGATAGTGAATGGTAGGAGATACACTATATGGCCAAAAGTATGTGGACACTCGACCATTACACCTATATAAGCTTGTTAGAGATTCCATTCCATTCCAAAACCATGGAGTTGCGCCACCATTCAGTCAAAAAGAGCATTTGTGTGGTCAGACACTGGTGTTGGACGAGAGGGCCTGGCTCACAGTCAACGTTCCAGTTCATTCCAAAGGTGTTTAGTGGGGTTGAGGTCAGGGCTCTGTGCAGGCCACTGGAGTTCCTCCACACTAAACTCGTCAAACCATGTCTTTATGGAGCTGCTTTGTGCACAGGGGCTCAGTCATGTTGGAACAGGAAAGGCTCTTCCCCAATAGATTGTCTAAAATGTCTTTGTGTGCTGTAGCATTAACTTCACAATTCACTGGAACTAAGGGGACCATCCCCCTTGAAAAACAGCCCCAGCCCATTATCCCTCCTCCACCAAACTTTACTGGTGGCACAGTATGGCACTATGCATTAGGTAGCATTCTCTTGAAATTCCCCAAACCCAGATTCCTCTGTTAGACTGCCAGATAGGTGAGGCGCAAACATTTCCACTGCCTCAGAGTCCAGTGGTGGCGCTTCACACCACTATAGCCGACACTTGGCATTGCGCATAGTGATCTTGGTCTTGGTGGCCCTGCTCTGTGAGTTTATTTTAAGTCGATTGCATGGCTGTGTGCTTGATTTTATACACCTGTTAGCAATAGGTGTGGCTGCAACACCTAAACTCAATAATTAGGAGGGTGTCCACATACTTTTGGCCAAATACTGTACAAGGCAAAGGCCTTTTTTTTCATTTTTAATTTGTATTGTCACTGGATATGTGTTAGAGTGCCGCTGAGTGTCATTGGGTGTGTAAAAGGTGATTTGTGGGCTCTTTCTAAACACACACTTTGATTTCAAGGGTTGAAGATATTTGCTGTATTTATTTGATATTACTTGAGGAGTTCTGTTCTTAATTATGCCTTTTTCCATAGGGGATAGCAACATGCCAGGAAGAGGTAAAGTACTACTTGGATCCAGTGCACAGTCAAATTGGTGTAGTCATTTAAGAGGAATGAAAGGGGGATAAAAATCATATAGTCCCATGATGCGTCCAAAAATCAACATACAGCTCCATAATGATTGGCATCTTTGGAGAATAGGTGAAAAAAATCATAAAAATGTTTGGTGAGACTGGAGTAATATGTATGTATGATTTGCATCACTGTCCTGCTGGAAGAAACAACCACCTATATTTTAGCTTTCTGCAGCCAGATTTACATTTAAAATCTGCTATTTCATGAAATCCATGATGGCATGCTATCATTCTAACAGGGTTCCCAGGGCCTTTGAAGAATAAAACAGCCCCCAAACACCACAGATCCCCCACCATACTTAACAGAGTGGATGAGCCTCTTTTCTTCTTTTTATGCCTAACCCACCTTGAGTGTTGCCAAAAAGTTTCATTTGTGTCTCATCTGTCCGTAGAACCCAGTTCCAACATTAAGCAAAGTACAGGCCGTTACATTTGTGGTTATTGGCATGGCATTAGGTGGTGTCTGTTGTTTTGGAGACGTTTACTACTATCTTCTGCCAATAATTTCCAATTATAATCAATATAGGGATTTTTGCCTCTCTAATCATCTTCCTCACTGCATGAGGGTAAAAAACACTTGTGTTCTCTATCAGGCAGGTTTAGTAGAGCTCTGACTGTTTTAAACTTTTATTTGTTGTCCTAACAGTGGATATATGGGCAGTTTCAGGCTATTTATTTATTTATTTATTTATTTATTTATTTATTTGAGATGGACTGATTTATGAAGGGCAGCGTCCTTATATCTCATTTTATTCTTATATTCCCCTTATTTTCCCCCATGCTAATGAAGGACTAAGAGAACTTAGAGTCAAAGATAACCGCTTAAGCATTCCCAAACACTCATTCCTGTGGAACATAAGTGAAATATAAAAGGAAAAAAGTTGCGTTTTCCTCACAAGAATTTCTAGGGGTGCGAATAGTTGTGGTGAATGCGAAAATCAATGAAGAGTTTTTGCTTTCTTAGTCTAAATTTACCTCAAAATTTAGTTTTAAGTTAATTTTTCTCTCATATTTTCTGTGTGAGACTGAGCTAATTTAAAAACAGAAGATTTTTTCCTGACCTTTTAATCCATCTTTCCCAAGGTGCCAATTATTATGGAGCTGACTAGCTGTGTTCCCATTACTCTATTTCAGCATGGATTATATTGTGAAACTGAGACTAGAAGACCTTCAAAGCGGCAGGTGAAATGTTATGTAGTCTGATCTAAATCTAATTATTGACATGCAGTATTTTTTCTTAAACAACTTCTTTAGGAAGTGTTAAAGAAATACTCCAGAATTTTCCAACCCAATTTCTACTTTCTGCATCTATAGCATACTTAAGCAATAGAGCACGAGAGGGAGTGTGTTATCGAGAAATAACATCACGGCTGTGATTTGGTCGCCGTAGATCATCACAGCCGTGGTGTTATTGGCGATAACACACTCCTCGAGTGTTCTATTGCTTTTATACAACAGTTAAATAAATAAAGTAATAAATTAATAAACTGGGCCGTGAACGCGGCGTTTAATATGTTTTAATGTTCGCAGTTCCTTCACCAAATTATAGTTCCTTAACGAGCAGCTTGTTGCTCCGTCAGAGTAACGAGCTCCGCCCACTCGCTGCACAGCCAGCAGTTCGTTCTCCAGCTCCTTACACTGAATTCCCAAACTGTCATCACCACTGAGCAGCTTTTCAGTCGGCAGCTGTGACAGAAGAACAGCTAAACAACCTGGAATCAGCCAGAAATGAACCCAACACCATTCGCCAAACGTGTAGTCTGATCTTCAGAGTCTGGCCAAACTGGACTGAGCCATAAAACTGCCGCAATATCAGGTTTAGCTCAGTTTTGTCAGTTTTTGCCAGATCAGTATTAATGTTGTTTTGTTCCAGCCAGTCTGTAAAGCATCTTACAGCCCATTTAGTTTGGCGAATGGTGTTGGGTTCATTTCTGGCTGATTCCAGGTTGTTTAGCTGTTCTTCTGTCACAGCTGCCGACTGAAAAGCTGCTCAGTGGTGATGACAGTTTGGGAATTTAGTGTCGTCTCATCTTCAGAGTCTGACCAAATCGGCTGTCGGTCAAATGTGATCTTAAAAGTATCCATTTTCTGTTTGTGGCAAAGTACGAAGTAAAAACGTTCAAATGGCTTGAGCATCTCCTACAGCTGTCAAAGTCGTTGCTTAGCAACAGCGTCTCAGTGGAGTGATACAGTGTTTGTTAAAAACCTGTGATGTTATGATGAAATAGAACGCTTCTCAACCAATCAGCTTGCGTGGCCAGAACTAACTGTTGTATAATGTCAGTTATCACAGACATTCGTTTCGACTATGGCAAACTCACTTCACAGAAGTCACTGGGCAGCTTCTGAATTCCATGTTTAAAATGTTACCTTAACACAAACTACGTTGCACTAATAATGCCTGAAGGTCTCACTTTCTATCACTGGAGCAACACAGTAAGAGCTGTAAGGGGACATGTTAAACTTTTGGTGCTATCATTATCTAACAGAGCTGTTTTCCTTTAGCAGGAGGTAATGTTTATTTTTACTGCATGTAATGTGCACATGTGATACACAACTACATGCTTACCTGAAGTTTTATATGGGGGGGCTTTTCATTAAAGCTTTCATTTACAGTGCTCTAAGTTCTAAGTATTAACCCATTAATCCCAGGCTTATTACATACTAAAGCCCTTTTGGAGCTGGATTAGTTTTATCTGGGGAGGTGTTGTAATTTCAGTGATTACCAGTGAGATCTGGGATTTTAATCCAGTATGAATTTCCCATGGCTGTAGTTTTCACAAGTCTGCTAAGTAATACTTCTGGAGTGAATTACCTTCTAGAATGCACTGAACTCAGAGCTGCCTCTGTAGTACTTATCCTGTTTGAATCTACATCACACAGTTATAACAAAACCAGGTAAGAAAACATCATTATGGTCATTAATTTCATTGCAAAGAGTTAAAAACAATTACATATCACTTTGAAGGTTGTACCTCTAGCTACCTGGTTAATACCTAGAGTTTAGCAGACGAAAGCATTATCGACTTTTCAGCCACAGTGACTTACGGTACATCTGTGAGCTAACAACAGGCTTGTTGGCTGTTGTGCAATGTTGTCCGGCGCATTATCGTCCCCTACTTTGAGCTCTGCCTTGGAAATTCCATGTTTTGTTAGTTCCCACCCTAATAAGTCTACCCACCAATATTTAGCCCAAAACTTCTCATGGTTGTCCCTAGAGGTTCTCGTTACGAGATTGCAACACTTGTAATGAATACAGCTAGTCCCAACTTTAAAGGAACTAATTATGCAGATTTACAGCCTAATTTACAAACATCTATGCTCAAATCACAAATGTGTTCTACAAAAAATATGTTTTACTCATTTACTGATGGAATTCAGCAACTGCCCATTGAGTTCCAGTTTAAGTTTCAAGTCAACAGATTTACACTCTCAGAAATAAAGGTATTAAACTGTCACTGGGGCAGTGCCCCTCTTGTCACTGGGGTGGTACCCTCAAAGGTACATCCTTAGTCAGGGAACATAACTGAACCATAATCCATTGTAGTTATATGTTCTAAGTTGTACTGACTCCACACACCCCGTCTCGTCTCCAGGCTTTTATTTTACTGTTCTGTTTAAAACATTCGGTTATGAAAAGGTTCAAATACGAACTTTTCACCTGGAGAAACTTATTTAAGGTTCACAATCAGACCTTAAAACCACTGTTGGAGCTTTGAGGGAACATTTACACTGTTTGTACCTTCATGAATGAAAAATGTACCTGAACAGAACCTTTATTTCTAACAGTGTACAAGGAAAGAAGAAAGTTTTGTCCGTGATAATCAACCGTATGCCACAGATGTGGACAGTGATTAGGTTCCTGGAGTATTCTTGTAAATATCAATTGATTATTAGATCTGTATTGGATATGAAGAGAAGGAAATCTGATAG